CTCAACTCAGAGTAACTTTCCTTTCTTGAAGGTCTCAGTACCACTATGTTCTCACACACTATACTCTCTCTCTCTCTCTATATATATATATATATATGAAATAGCAAAACTTAACATATGCGTACGTATATGCCAATTTTGAGTTTTTCTATGTTTGTTTACGTATGTAAACAAAAGAGTCAATACAACCAGAAATATTTGCTGTATTTGTTCATTCGTTTATTCTTGCATGTATTTCTTTTGTGATCATACGGAATTCATATTTACGGGGCGGGAAAAAAGGTGGCTTTGGGATGTCCCTAAACCCTCAACCCCTAAACCCTAAAGCACTAAACCCCTAAACCCTAAAACCCTAAACCCTAAAGCCCCAAACTCCTAAACACCTCAACCCCCCCAAACAACTCAACCCCTAAACCCCCTAACCCCTCAAGCCGTCAGCCCGCGGCTCCGATACTGTGAACCCCGAACCCTCAGCGCCTCAGCCCTCAAGTCTGTCAGAGCCCTAAAACCCTAACTAAGCCCGAAGCCGGGAAGGTTAAACCTCCTAAACCCTAAGCCCTAAACCCTAAACCCTAAATTCTGAGCCCTAAACCCCTAGACCCTAAGCCCGAAACCCTAAATCCTAGGCCCTGAGGCCCCTGAAGCCCTAAACCCTAAGCCCCTGAAGAGCCACAGGCCTTGCCAAGAGCTCCTCTTCGGAGTTGAGCCGATATTCGTTGAACCGGAGGGTCTAGAGTGAGGTTTCAAAGCTTTAGGGTTTTGGGGGTTTAGGGTGCTGGGGCTCCGGGGTGGTCTAAGAGATGTGACAATCAGTCCGGGTTTCAGGGCCTAGGGCTTGAGGGTCCAATGTGATATGCTTCTATTGGATGTTCATTACTTTTTAGTGCTTCAGCCCAAAACCCTAAACCCTAAACCAAAGGCTCTAAGGGACTCATATCGCTGAGGACCATCCTATAAACCTGGTTTTTGGTCGATGTTGAGCCTGAGATCCACGATCGTACTTGACGGTGCAGCTAGGGCTCCCTTAAACCCTAAGTTTCGGGCGAGTAGAGGTTCACAGGTTTGAGGGTTCAGGGGTTTTGACTTGAGCTTGGGCTTAGGGTATTTCATGTGTTGGGTTTTTGAGGTTTGCGGTTGTAGGGTCGTGGGTTGAAGGTGTGAGGGGTCCATGAACGGCGCATGTGGTTACCAAGGATTTGGACACTTAACGCTCCCCAGAGAGCCCAATACCCTTTAAATAAGGAATATGGCTTAAATTATAAGGGGCTTCAAAATCTGATCTAAGCTATATTCCTTATCTAAGGGCTATTGGGCTCTCTGGGTTCAGGCCAATAGAGTCATTCTTTGAACCCAAGGATCCACTGGATATCCTTGTTCCAAGTTAGCCCCTAAACCCTGAACCCCTGAAGCCCTAAACCCCAAACCCAGAGACGATCAGAGACAGCAGCAGTCGTCCCATACTCATGATCGCCGAGACGGCCCTGCAACCTGGGGCTCAAAGTATCGACCCGTCTAGGCCTAATGGGTTTCGGGAGTTTACCCATAGGCCCCTTAGTAGTTCCTTTTTGGGATTACCTTATAGGGTCTTAATATATAATATAAGCCATAAAAAGGAACTACTTAGGGGCTTATGGGTAGGGCGAGTTGCCTTGAACTTGAGGGGTCGTAGCGTACTGGTTTGTAGGGCTTGGGGACCCTGGTGATTTTAAACCTTTTTTAGCTTTCAAGGCATAAGGTTGGGCTGGTTTTCGCATGCCTTACTGGAAGGTTTTCGACAGCCCGATAACACCGAAGAAAGTCGTACGAGTTTCGGAGTTTTCTACTGCACAACGAGCTTGAGTTCAGGGGTTCCGGACTTCCCCAAAGCTTTAGACTCTTCCGATGAGCTATGCTTAAAGGAAAGAAGTTTTGGAAGTTGTGCAAGATAAGCACACAATTTTCAGCCAGGCAGACTGTGATGCTGAAGGAAGGTGACTCCTCGAGGGGTTCGGTCAGACCGACTGCCTCCTTGGACCCTGAACCCAGATTACCCCAGACACCGTAACACGATGTAGCAATCTATCCGCATATCTTCAGCTCTAGTACGAATCCTAAGGCAGGTTCAGGTAATTTGTCTTGCACTAGATCGCGGGTCCGACAAAGGCTCACGGTGCGGCAGCCTCCTTCCCAAACCCAGAGTCTTTGCCTATAAACCCCCAAGAAGGCTAAATCCCTAAACCCAAAACCCCACGCCCCTGAAACCCTAAATGCATAATCCCTAAATCCCTAAACCCTATGAACCCCAAGCCCTGACGTCACGGAAGGCTTGTACAAGCCCCACAAAGCAAAGCTCTCCATCCTGATCCTGGCAACGAGCTTGTTCATTCCTGTTATGAATGTTCAACAAAGTAATAGCAATAGTGATAGTGGTAGTGGTGCTAGTAGTAGTCGTAGTCGTAGTAGTCGTAGTAGTCGTAGTAGTAGTAGTAGTAGTAGTAGCAGTAGGAGTAGTAGGTAGTAGTAGTAGGTGGTAGTAGGTG